TCCTGTTAATCCACCTACTAATGTTAGGACACTGCCATCTTTGAACGATACAATTATTGTTGATTCTGAAAGTGAAGAACTTATTGTGGTAAGCAGTAGTATTAGTGAAGATTCAGATAATGAAATTCTTAGTCAACCATTCAGACCTGTTGATGCATATGATTTTTCAATTAGAGATCAACCATCTACTTCTACAGGAATACGTAATTCCTTAGATCGACCTACTAATAGGTAACTATTTTATATTATAAAAATTAATATGAAAAATATTTAGATTTGGTGATGATTTTCTTATGTTTTGCCATTATAACTTATGACAATGGTAAAGTCTTACCATATACAGGTGTTTCAGATCTAAATGACAAATCTTCAAATATATCTTAAAGTAAATTGTTAGTTAGGTCTAAAACACTGTATATTATATTATGGCATTTTATTTAGGAAAAGTCATAATACAGTTTCCCTATTCTAACAAACAATATTCAAATTAATTAATTAAACAATTCTTAAATCATTTTTCTGTTGAATTATTTTTTACCATTTTTTTAATCAAGTCAAATAAATTGTTTTTATTTTATTTGTAGTACATCAATTTTTATTCTTTAATTTTAGATATAATCTTAGACGAAGGAGATTATTTTCATCTCCACTAGCTGATACAGCTGGATGTCCTGTGCACTTATCTCGAATTGGATCTTCATCTAGTTCAAGACGAAGAAGATTTACAATAGAATCCTCATCATCTGATGATGAAGCAACTATTACTCATCAGCCACAAGCATTGCCCATGAGAGCTGATATAGTGTATGGAAAAAGGAAAAAGAAGGTAAAAAAGAGCAAACAGAATAAGAAAAAGAAAAATATGGATACTCCATCTGATGTACGTTTAAGGAGTAGAAGTCGATCATATTCAGGTTCATCATCTTCTTCGGGTGATACAGATCATAGAGGTCATATTTCTGTTCAGCCATCAAATGATTTGTAGCTCAATCAAAATCCAATTGAAAATTTTTTTTTTTTTTTTAATAATCTGATTTATTGTTAAACTACTGTTCAGTAAAAATGTATTTTATAATTAATAGTTATTTGTCTTAATTTTAAATTGTATATGATTATATTTATTTAAAGTATTTAACTTATGATTAAATTGTATATAAAATTCAAACTAATATATTGACATTATTTATCTTATAGATCTAATTTCTCCTATTTTTTTAATAAAAAAAAGTGAACCCCAGTGAACACTAAGAGTTCAATTGGGTTCAAAAATCGAACAGCTTATAACATCACAACATATTACATGTAAAAATCTATTTATAAGAACTTTTTCATAGGATTTTTAAAAGATTTGATTTGTTTTATTATATACACTCTTGTATCACTCTAATGAATATAAATATTTCATTATTAATTATTCACCTTATATTCGTTTGATTTTTTTATAAACAAAAAAATCTAAAACAAGTTTTGCCTACCACCAATTAGTTTTAATGAATATATTAGCTTCAATGCGAAGCTGAGAAGGTATTAATTTTACCATGATCTGTTAATTAATTAATTAATTTTTTTTTTTTGTGTCTGTCACTACATTTTCTCAGCTCTCACTGGACCGATTTCTTTTAACAATACGTCAAAAGATCACAAATCGTATCTAGTTGAAGACATTATCCTTAAAAATTGAAAAATTTTCCCTCGTTCCCCGCAAATGGGGGAAATCTCCAAAAAAATTACAAATTTAAAAATCGATAAATTTTGTCATTTTTTTTTCTTAAAACTTCCATAACTTTTTCAAAAATAAACAAATCAACATAACTTTTTTTTATACTAAAACCTTAGATATTTCCCTTTCATTGGATATCATTTTTTTGAAAATCTAACACTTAACCTGCTCATTGAAGGGGATTTAAAATAGCAACTTTTTTTCATAAATTAACTTTTTCAACTTAATTTTTGAAAATGTACCGGAAATACTGCGTCCTTCAAACATATATCAAATTAAAGCTTATTTTATGTACTATAAAATAAAAAAATAATTTGTCCCGACATCTTATCTACTATGGGCAAATTGCTGTGCGAAGTTTAAAAAAAAATGTAATATTTGCGATAAAAATCAACTTCTATAAGAATTTTTGTTGTAATTAAAACTGCTATAACTTTTTCAAATATTAACAAATCAAAATAATATTTTTTTATATTGAAACCTTAGATATTTCCCTTTCATTTGATATCATTTTTTTGAAAATCTAACACTTAACCTGCTCATTGGAGGAGATTTAAAATAGCAACTTTTTTACAAAAACTAACTTTTTCAACTTAATTTTTAAAAATGTTCCGAAAATACTGCGTTCTTTAAACATATATCAAATTAAAGCTTATTTTATGTGCTATAAAATAAAAACAAANGGTTATGTTATATACTATAAAATTAAAAAAAGAAATTTGTCCCGACGACCTATCATCTATACGCAAATGGCAATCGTATTCAAAAATATGCAATTTATTTTTTTAAATCCCGGTTTTTGTATTTTATTTTATTTTAAAATATCTTATTAGGGGAATACACTGCCTTTCATAAATATTATATAATTTAATTGACATAGAATAAAGTTCATAAGACATAAGAAATTAAACTTATTAAAAGTTTTTTACTTTTTTAAAGTCGAAAAAGTAATTTTTAAATTCAAGTTAGCTTAAATAGCCATTTTTATCAGAAGACAATAATAACGAACAGTTCCCAAATGGGTAACATCTGCGTCTTTCACGCTTAGGGTACGATGTTCAAATCCGTCTGTGGCATTTAGTATTTTGCATTTTTTTTTGAGTTAAAATAAAATTTTCAAATCATTTGATATTTATCTCATTTAGATTCAACAACTTCAATAAATATAAAGGATCCTATCACTATAGTCACCCCTCGTGAGAAGAAATTTATATTAATGTTTATATTATCTTACTATGTAGTTCTTTTCGTGGCTACGATTTATTTTGCCAACCCTCACTAGACCTACTTTTTTCAACGATACGTCAAATGATTACAATTCGTATTTAGTTTAAGTTATTACTCTTAAAAATCGAAAAAATATTCCTTATTCAAATAAAAAGTAGCTTAACCAGCTTTTTCCATACAAACAATTAAAAACATTAATTTCTATTATTCTTAAAGTATTCATTATCGAATTAGATTTGATATGATAAAAGTATTCAACTACAAAAGTAAATAATTTTACTTTGTAATTTATTAATTTTTTACTCTATTTGTGTGTGCTACTACTAGACTATAATATTCCAAATTTATTGATAACATATTGCTATACAAATCATTTCTAAAAAAAATGATTGTTAGTTTCTCCTGAATTAACAATGGATTTATACAATTATAATCAATTTTTATAATACGCTAAATTGAATAACTTTTTTTTTATTGGTTTTTTTAGATTTATAATCATTAAAATAATTAAATTCTGAATATTTTTATTGTAGAATTTTTTTAAACGCCAAAAGTTAATTAGAAATTATTACTATTACTTCTATTTAAGTGATCTATTACGATAAAAATGTAAAAAAATCTAACTTTACTGATAAATGCACTGTAAATAGTAATTATAAAATTCCCTGATTGCATATTGTGCAATGCCAGCTATATTTTCTTTAGTATCGGCAATTTGCGAATTTTTCTTGTAACATTTTTGTTCGTTTAATAACTACGATTCACTATACGTATTTGGCCATGCCTTAGCGGAAGGAAAAGGAGAATATAAAATGTGGAAATTGAGCCTTACAATATATTAAATAGAAAGAAAAAAAAAACATATATAATAATCACAATATGATATTTTCCGTTACGATAAAAAAATAACTAACAACAAGAACCAATGATAAATGAAATTAGCACAAATTACTAATGAAATAAATAACATATATCCCCTTTTTATAACTAATACATATATTATGTGGGCTGTAAATCCGTTAAATAAACAATAAAAAATTCTTAGTAATTACCCACTGCCGTTTGAAGGTGATGAACACTGTAACACTTCAGATGCAGGGAAGGCAACAAAAAAACACCGTAGCATATAACAAGCCGTTGAGCAACTCAAAATTGAACACTGTGGCGACAAGGCAATACTCGACCCAAAAATACCTGGCGTCGATATAACCGAAACGGCCGACTAATTGAGCGCGAAAAAATTAGTTTTCAATGCCATACGTTGCAGGGACCGGTCTAAAACAGCAGCGCCGCCGTACCGTTACGAAGGTGGTGGTTTTTTAGTGGGAAAAAACACATTGAAGACAGCGGCGTATATTAAAAAGAACGCGGAATCTCCGGTCTACTAGACGCCTACAGAAAAAAATGAAAATAAATTGCGTTGTGTCAGCGGCATACCTGTTGTGACAAATACAAACGTGTATGATGTGATCGACTGACCTGCTCTCCCTCACTTACAGTGTTTTCATGTTAAATTAAATATATCGCGTCACCTCACATTCATCTAACACATATTAATCTTAACAATTTCATTTTTTTCTATTTAATAATGTCAATTTAAAAACTTGCAAGTTGAACTACATGTTATGGTAATAAATTCATTTTTTTTTATTATTAAAACTTTCAAAAAAAGTAGGCTCAACATTATTACTTTTAACATATTAAAAATTAAAATCAATAATAATTTGAAAACAATTAATTTTAAAAATTATATAATATATAATTAAAAGAAATACTAATCTGGGTAAAATTAAGAAAATAGAAGTTGATGTTGCTTTTGTTCATCAATTTTTTAGAATTAAACACTATCTACAGATTTGCATCGAAGCGTTTCTTATGATAGTGATTTTAATCACTGTCAGATTAAATCTATACTATGCAACATCCCTACTATGCCGCGACCCCACTGTGCTATTTTATATTATATTTATGTAATGAGCTATATTTTATTAATTATTTTATTTCATTTTTAATTTATAGTAAATTAACTTAATTTTGTTTATGTGTGGAGAGCACGTGTTTCCCTTTTCTTCTAGCCAACGCTAAGGAGCGAGTGTCCAGACCGTTCCTGGTATTTTTCATTAATTTCCGATTAACATTAACGGATGTGTTTCAATACCGTCCGTGATGTTTGTAATATTATTTGTTTGTTTTGTTTAAATATTTTATTTTATTTGTATTGCCTTTATTTGTAGACATGGTTTTTGATGCATTCGCATTTTTGTCCATGTTTAACTTAATGTTCTTTTTTTTTTAAACAATTAAATTAAATTTCCTTATTAATTTCAACTGTAATTTTTATTTTATTGCGCGAGTAACTTAATTACTCGCGTGTATTTTATCCTTATTCTCTAATTTAGACACGGGCTACGGTATGTTTTACATATCAACCACATACAACTTTGATTGTCATAATTGTGTTTAATAAACCATGAGGTATTATAGTAATTTATACATATAACAACATATTACTTAGATTATACTTTTAATTAACTTAAAATTAAATTCCACCTATGGTCCGGTAATCATATCTGATAGGTGTGACACCTCGCCTAGGTGGTGGCGACCCTTGCTACTATAGCTAGCCGTTATGCAAGTGGCAAACCACGTTGTTGTTACAGGCNGAATTGTTTTTATACAACCGAATAGTTTATTTTTAGCATAAACTTGCAAGTGGGCTTTTTTATATACAGGGTGTTCAGTAAGTCAGGAAACGGGTTTCTATTGTTCTCATTGTTACAAACAATGAGAACAATAGAAACCCGTTTCCTGACTTACTGAACACCCTGTATATAAAAAAGCCCACTTGCAAGTTTATGCTAAAAATAAACTATTCGGTTGTATAAAAACAATTCGAATAGTTATTCCATAGTTATTCCATAGTTTAATATATTTAAAAATGCCTAAGTTTACTATTAACCCACTATAAGTATTAAAGTATTTACAACTTAATAAATACTTATCTTAATGTTGTTATCGTCGAGAACTTATCGACCCATTTAAATTTTTTAAAGAAAAGGACTAAAAAATGGCTATTTAAAATGATTAACAAAAATAAAAAACATTTAAAATTTTTTTTCTCATTAGTCATAAATAGGACTGGTAATTATATGAATATATACATTTTGTTTGAGCCACTTTTATGATTTCTCAATTTGAGCAATTTTGTTATAGAATTATAAAGTAACAAAGAAATATTTCTCCCAATAGAGAGGATAAATTCCTTTAATCTCCCCAAATTTATAACTTCGATAATAATACATTACTAGTCAATTAATAAAAATTTGTACTGTTTGGTGATATGTTCAGAAAAACTTAATAAAATTTATAAATTTATATAATTCCCAGACCTATTTTTTTTTTGTGTCTGTCACTACTTTTATTCAGCTCTCATTGGAAAAATTTTTCTCAAAAATACGAAAAATTATCAAAAATCGTATAGTGTTGAAGAAATTACTCTCAAAAATTAAATATTTTTCCCCCGTAAATGGTGAAAATCCTCAAAAATTTACGATTTTTAAAATCGGTAAATCTCGACATTTTTTCACTTTTTTTCTAAAAATTGCCATAACTTATTGAAAAATAAACAAATCAAAATATTTTTAATTTTTAAACATAGTTGAGGCAAGTATTTCTTCAAAAGTTACTTTTCGAAAAAAAAGTTCCAAAAAAACACGACAGACTAGTGGCGTCAGTGTAAAAATTTGACGCATTAACAATTAATATGCATTTTTCAAAAAATTGTGACACCTAAATAGGAACAACCGTACTCGATGACAATCATATATTAATTTACTGAAAAAATTTTCTGGAAAAATAAATATTAGAGTTATTTTTCTTTATCTTATATACGGGAGATGTCGTTAAATTAATCATACATAAACCGAAATTGTACATATATTAACCTACAAATTCGTAAGATTAAATTTTAAGTCTTGGTTATTATTTTTTGTAGGTAAATTCAGCAATGTACTATTCTAAAATAAATAAAATATTTTAACTAGGCATAATAAAAAAAAGCAATTTATGTATATCTCATAGTTCATATTAACATCATGGTATAATAATACAAACAAAAAAGAACTGTGGTATGGAATCACAGCTACCATGATGATTTTTATCATAAAAGTATTTCAACCCTTCCCATGGCAATATCATGTGTCTGATTTATCATAACCGATCATATTCGTCAATGAGATTTTTCACGTCTGTTACCAACAACATATTAGCCTTAAAATCCCTATTTATATTAGTTCTAACTTGAAATTAATATATACTATTGTCAATAAACAATACATTCTTAGAACTTATAGTGGACCCCAGTAATCCGACAAGTCTATTATTATTGGGTATTTTTTTTAAATCTTCACTAATGTAGATAATTCATGATTGAACAGGTTACAATTGTGCCATCACTATTGTGCTCAAAATTAGATTCTTTGTTTACTGTTTATTGTTTACTTGGCGTGTGATACCAAACAAAACTTTCGTTTCCTATAACGAAAAATCCGTACCTGGGCGAAAAGTAAGTAAAAAGCGTGAAACCTTACTACCATGTGCAAATGCTGCGGGTACACAAGCGCTAAAAATGGTGGTCGTTGGAAAATCGAATAAACCACGTACATTCAAAAACATTAATTTTCCTGTACTTTATTATGGTCAAAAAAGTGCGTGAATGACAAAAGACCTTTTTAAGAAGTGGTTTGATGAATGCTTTGTACCAGAAGTTAAAAAATGGTTGAAAAATCATGATTTTCCTCAAAAAGCGTTATTGCTTATTGATAACGCTCCCGGTCATCCGTCTATAGAAGAACTGACAACTGAGGATAAATGCATCACTGTGATGTTTCTTCCACCAAACTGCACTGCACTGATTCAACCAATGGATCAGTATATCATTCAGTTTGTCAAGCAAGATTATAAGAAAAATCTACTTCTGAGAGCCGTATCAAAAGATCAGCCAATAGAAAAAACTTTAAAAGAATTCAATATGAAATACTTGGTTTTTGCTCTTTGTCAATCGTGGAATGCATTACCTTTGTCAATTATTTCATCGTCTTAGAAAAAGATATGACCGGATATAGTCACCAGCCCTAGCAACGATCCACAAATCAGTGTATCTTCGAAAGTAATAGAGAAAGTTGCTGCTGAAACACAGATAAGATCGCAAGATTTGGAAATCTGGTACCATGGAATGGAAAAGGAGGAAAATATTTTTTATGAAATGTCTGACAATGAGATTATAAAAGAAATAACTAGTAATACAACCTTAAATCAGGAAGATGACGACGACGTAATTGCAAATACTCCGCAGGTGATAGCACAAGATGCATCTAACGCCTTTGAACTGGGTTTGGAATGGGTTGAGAAGAATGATGCATCCTACAACGAACTTTTACTTTTAAGAAGACTGAGGAATAGAGCATTGGTCTAGCGTTTCAATAATATTAAGCAAAAAAAAAATAAATATTGATAAATATTTTCATGCTTAAATTCATATCATGATTTTTATTCATAATTTTTGACTATTTTAGTAAAAGTTTAAACACAATTACATTGTAATTGTATTCCTTAATGAAAAATTATTGTTTATTGTAAGTTCTCTAGCATTAATGACATTAATTTTATAATAAAACATATGCTTTCTATTGTGTTGTTTAATTTATTAAGTCGACATACATAATAAAGCATGATTTGTACTTCACACCAGGACCTGTCAAAACCAAATCTTATCTTTCGATTTGTGATTTTTCAAATTACAAGGTACCCTTTTGTTAAAAGTTCCGGACTATAGGAGGTCTTAGGGAATACTCTATAATCCGACAAATTCGATAGTTCAACACTGATCAGCAAAACGTTTGTCGGATTACCGGGTGTCCACTGTATTTTACTATTTAAAAATTTGGATTTTTAATAAAAATTACGAATAAACAATTGATTTTATTATTTAAATTAATTTTAATAGGGGGTGCGATCGTCCCGTCATCCAAGCCACGAGCAGCCATTGCTAATACACATGAAATATTAATAATTTTAATTGTTCATTTATTTATTATTCACAATTATCATTTGTTACTTGGTCATCTCACTCCTCTGATTGTCATAGGCAAACCCTTCCTGTTTCTTCTATATAGGTGTGAAGTATCAAATTTTTAGAAGGATTTTCTGCGATATCAATATATGTTAACAAAATAATAATATCAAATATGTTTGATCTTATTTAGCTACTTAAAATAAACTTCAATAAAGTAAACTAGTTATGGTTTAAAAATTTTAATTCTGTTTAATCCACATAATTTTCCCATATTCCATTCAATGACAAAAAAAAAAAAAATTATGGGCAATGGAGTAATCTGAGAATTTATAAGTGTGATCATCGAAAATAACAAGTCGTTCTGAGTAATAATGACATTGTACTTGATTAGATCTAACTATAATGTATAGAGACAGCATTTCTCTGTTTAGGAACAGCATAACCAAGTGTTAGGACTATAGGTATACCTTAACAATTTTTAAATAAATTTCAAACTCATTTAAATTAAAATTTAATTTATAATAGTGTATAATCAAAAAATAAAATGAATTTGTTTGTTAGTTTCACTAAAAATTTATTTGAACTAATAATAAATATTCAGTAGTAGACAATACAATATTAACATTCTTACAGCATCTCTTCAAACACATCTATATCATTGTTATTTCGTACCAAATTCTTAGAAGAATTTTGTGCAACATCTAAAAATATAATAAGAATTGTTTAGTCAATTTAAAAGTTGTTTTATTAAAAAAAAATTAAAATAAAACGGTAGCACAGTGGGGTCGCGGCATAGTGGAGACATTGCATAGTAGGGTCCAGTATAGATTTAATCTGACAGTGATTAAAATCACTATCATAAGAAACGCTTCGATGCAAATCTGTAGATAGTGTTTAATTTTAAAAAATTGATGGATAATTGCAAAAGCAACATCAACTTCTATTAAAATAAAATACAAAACCCATAATTATCATACAAAAATAGTATATTTTTCAATATGGTAGCCATTTGCGTATAGAAGATAGATCGTCGG